CATTTGGCGTGTTTTCATGTGCGCGGGCCGACAAGCGAAAGGTTAAACGTATATGTTTCCCATCAATTGCCCCGAAGCAATGAGGAAAGTTAGCTTTGAGATCGCAATCTAATGCAATATTTTGTAGTTTTTCTACTGTGATCTCTTCTATGTACTGTGGTCGAACATATTTCCATATAGCTTGACAAACTGACGAAATAGTTCTAGAAATTGTTGCTCTTCCACGTTTAAATTTGAAATGCAAGTCGTTTATCGAATTTCCGCTGCCCAAGTACCTGAAATAGAAACACAAAAAATAAACAACCATTTACATTGGTCAGTGTGGACAAGTTAGGCACTTACACATTTTTTTCTTTCTTTGCAGGTAACGAGGTTGTGAAAAAATGGAGAAGCGTAAAGGACAACTTTTTTCGATATGTAAAAAAAATAAAAGAAAACAGTTCGTCTGGATCAGGGGCAAAACAATTGAAACAATATCATTATTACAACCAGTTGCTGTTTTTGATGAAAGTTGCCCAAAATAAAACTGACAGTAGCCTTGAAATTATGCCTAAAGAAACGGAACGAAATGAAAACACAACATCATCTCCATTTCCTACAAAAAAAATGACCTTGTTACCTCCAGGTCCTTCTCGCTACGTGCCTGCAAGCCGTAAGAGATCACACCAAGCAATAGATGATTTCGAGGCACAAACTTTAGAAGCGTTGCAAGAGAAAGAAAACCGCCACTTATCATTTTTCAAAGGAATTTTGCCTTCTTTGGACGGCTTTACGGAATTACAAACTTTGACATTCCAAAGCAAAGTTATAAATATCATTACCTTAAATGCGATTCGGGGAACAGGCAGTTCAATCAACAACATGGCAGTCACGCGGGTATCAGACTGGACAACAGTATCAAGCAACACCATTGCAGTCACGTGGATATCAAACTGGACAACAGTATCAAGCAACACCATTGCAGTCACGTGGATATCTAACTGGACAACATGCCCAGTCACCATAGCCATCGTCGTATCAAACAGATGAATTCGAAACTACCTACTCAGCCAACGCTACGATTAATAATTTTACTGATGATAGTCAAGAAGAAGATTTATAACTTTGCTTTGTTGCCTAATAGTAATACTTAAATTAAACTGTTTTTAAAGATAATAAATGAATAACTGATTAACATTATTATGATATTTGTAATACCAATCATTTCAATCGGTTCTAAAGGGTTCCTGAAATTGGTATACTTTAAATGTGGTTTTAAGGTTTTAAACAAATTAGTAAAGCTGGCCACACTCATTCTAAAAAAATTAAAAAAAATATTTTCATCTAACAACAACTCCCTATATTCCCGCATAAAAAACTGACCATCACTATTTCTTAATGCTATCAAAGGAGATATCCAGAATCTACTATGGTTTCTACGTTTATGTCGGCGGTGGCGTAATAAAAGCAACAAAAGAACACGTTTGTATCTATCCATTGCAATGGCAGAACTGAGACGCAGCTGCGACGGCGTGCATACCCTCTTGCGTTGCGATGGCGCAGCGTCAACGCAACACAGATGTGGCATACAATGCGTTGTTCCGTTGCGACGACGCGACGCAACGCAGCGCAACGCATTAATGGGGCTTCGCCCCTATAAGCCCTTTTTGTTTTTTTTATAGTTCTAATCAATATAACACGAGGAATCAGGACAATATTCTTGGTCCTACGATCAGAATTCCGATGGGTAGGAGCGGGAATATTTTTTCCACCCTGAAAAGGTGATGGCTGCAATTCGAACAAAAGGCACGAATAAATAAAAATGAAAGTCTTAAATTTGTGCACGTCATTTGTAAACATTATCGGAACAATGAGTTACATAATAATTAATAAATAACAATACCTAAAGTAAATAAAAGGGAAAAAAATAAAATTAATATTCTTCGCCACCTTCGCCTTCTCCCTCTCCAGAATCCATTCCGACCTCCTCGTAGTCCTTCTCAAGAGCAGCCAAGTCCTCACGAGCCTCTGAGAATTCTCCTTCTTCCATACCCTCACCGACATACCAGTGGACAAAAGCACGTTTGGCGTACATTAGATCGAACTTGTGGTTTAGACGAGACCAAGCTTCAGCAATGGCAGTAGTATTTGACAACATACAAACTGCGCGCTGGACTTTTGCTAGATCTCCGCCTGGTACTACAGTGGGTGGTTGGTAATTAATTCCCACTTTGAATCCAGTAGGGCACCAATCTACAAACTGAATCGTTCGCTTAGTTTTTATGGTGCCGATTGCTGCATTCACGTCCTTTGGCACCACATCTCCTCTATACAGCATGCAGCAAGCCATGTATTTACCGTGTCGGGGATCACATTTTACCATCTGATTGGCGGGCTCGAAACACGCGTTGGTGATTTCAGCCACTGACAGTTGCTCATGATAGGCTTTTTCAGCCGAGATTACAGGAGCATACGTTACAAGTGGAAAGTGGATACGAGGATACGGTACTAAATTGGTTTGAAATTCCGTCAAATCAACGTTCAGCGCACCATCAAATCTAAGGGATGCTGTGATAGAAGACACTATTTGTCCAATCAAACGATTCAAATTAGTATAGGTCGGTCTTTCAATATCCAAATTTCTTCTACAAATGTCGTAAATAGCTTCATTATCGACCATGAACGCTGCATCTGAGTGCTCTAGGGTCGTATGAGTTGAGAGGATCGAGTTATATGGTTCTACGACAGCAGTCGATATTTGTGGTGCGGGATAAATGGCAAATTCCAATTTCGACTTTTTACCGTAATCTACGGAGAGACGTTCCATGAGTAAGGAAGCGAAGCCTGATCCTGTGCCTCCGCCGAAGGAATGAAATATGAGAAACCCTTGCAGTCCCGTGCATTGATCTGCGAGCTTGCGCACTCTGTCTAACACCAGATCCACAATTTCTTTCCCGATAGTGTAATGGCCCCGTGCGTAGTTGTTCGCTGCGTCCTCTTTACCCGTGATAAGTTGTTCAGGGTGAAACAGCTGACGGTAAGTGCCTGTACGCACTTCGTCTACCACTGTAGGCTCTAAGTCGATAAATACTGCTCGAGGTACATGCTTGCCTGCTCCAGTCTCACTGAAGAATGTGTTAAAGGAATCATCCCCGCCACCGACAGTTTTGTCCGAAGGCATCTGTCCGTCAGGCTGAATTCCATGCTCCAAACAGTACAACTCCCAGCAGGCATTCCCGATCTGAACTCCGGCTTGTCCGCCATGTATGGATATGCACTCACGCATTTTTTACAATTTTGTGATTTAACCAAAAAATATAAGGTAAAAAAATCTTAAACTAAATCCTACGTCTTTAGATTTTCAGAATAAATCCCATAAATTTAGCAATTTTATATATATATGTATATATAATAGACAGATGTCGGTAGGGTTGTTCCCTTTTAAAAAATAATGACAACGTCACTAAGCCTACTAACAATTCCATTAAAATTATGAACTACACACTGCTCAAGAAATGATTTTCTTGGTAGTATCCTTGACACTCCGTACCAAGAGAACCTAGAGGGAGCTAGAACTCTTAGCGAAAAGTAGGCTGTGGAGGGTAATTGAGGTTACTATTAACTGGACTGCAATAGTATATACATATGTGCACTCAGAGTTTGCATTGACGCCGATAAACGTGTGAAATGACAACTTCACTGTACTAGAACAATTAACCTTTTATTAATTATGCGCGCAACTATAAGCACACAAACACACAATAAACCAGCAAGCGTGTAAACTACAGACAGACGGTCATGTAGGCGAGGAATGACATGAAGTGGAGGGTATGTAGGAAAGGTAGCTGGTGACTGGTAAGTTTGCTACACTAAGAGCAACTACATTAAACTTATTACGTGGCGTGACGTACAAATACTGTGATAAATTTTTGGCTCCATGAAATGCCATGATGATTTTGCGAATGTCTGGGGTAGAAATGACTATGTACGATAGTTTTGTAAATCAAATACTATAAAAGTAATGGCGAATGACGCCAATATCCAGTTGAAAAAAAATCTTGTTCAATAAAAAAATTATGACATCCCTTAACGAATATAATAGATTCGAATTTTAAAAATCGAGATTTTTCGTTCTTCATAAATTTAAAGAATATGAATAACCAAGAAGCTTGATACAAACACCATAAAAATGCTCTCAAAGAGGTTATACGATTACCGAATAAGAACTTTTCTCTATTTTATTATTATTATAATAAATTCTATTTTATTATATGGGTACATATTATATAAAAGTTTTACTTATCAGGTACTTTTGGTTCTAGTTGGATAGGTTGAAACCTCTGATCGTCGTAGCACTATTAAATTCAGTATGATGACTTGTTGTTCCTCGTGTAATCACAGTTGATTAAAGCATAACCCAGTTAGCCAATTGAATTCAGGGTAATCTATAGGCAGCCTCAAATAGAGGGGAATTATAAAAAAAGTGGTATAGTTACGATTTTGATGATTTTTTTATAGTTGTGACCTTCATGACATAATTACCTGCAAAAGATAACAAATAATTTTTGTTCTCGTTTAGTAGAGTATTTCATTATGTGACGCTTGTAATTGCTATCCCACTCGAGTGGCACACGATGATTTTCATCACACGTGGGAGGAGTTGAATAAATTTAAAGTTAGACATTTAATATTTATTCTTGCAACATTATTAAATATTTTTAAATTATCACAAATAAATAAAAAACAAAAATAAAATAAATAAATTTTAAGTAAAATATGAGCATTAAAACTTTTTGCTAGACTTATTACGTATTTGTGAATAAAATGTAATTTTTTTTTAATTTACCTACATAATAATATGTCATGGAATTTATGATTAGAACTTATAGAAAACTATAAACTGTAACTCATGTGCGCCGAGCAGGTAGCGGGAAAGCACCACCATTGGGCCATTTATGACAAAAATACCACCTAATTTTGGTGCACATTACGTATACTTAATTCTCTACTTACCACCTATGTGATATTGTTTTAGGACAGGGTGAGCTTCCAAATTTGATAGCGGATTTTTTTTACCAATCGTCGGTTAGCAGAGTCAGAGAACAAAAAGTAAAGAGAACGGACACTCTCCGCCCCTCCCTAGCTTTAGATGCCACACCACGCTCCGCACATTGCCGGTCACATTGACTGAACGACAACAACGCTGCCGGCGAGCCGTTTTCGCGCGAAGACGGCTTTGATATTTGAATATAGTTTTCATTTATTAATTACGAAACTTGTACGTTAATATAAAACATCATTTTACGTTACGGCTGTTTATCATCATTTTCCGAAAGATGAAACGAAGTAAGCAAAAAAACTTAAGTCTGGGACTCATTCAGTTATTCTTTTCTTCATTTATTTACTGCAGAGTATGATATGATATAATGTATGTATAAAAAATACAGATTTATTATTATATCAATTTAATGAGGCGCCATGACTTCGTAGACAAGGGTTCTCCGAATTTTCAATGCGTATGTATTGCTGATAAATATTACGTAAATAGTGCATATACCCAATTATTAACTAAATAATGATGATTAACTTGGACACGCAAATTCAAAAACCTTGGTTACCTTATTTAAAAGTAAACGTCCAAAATATAACATTTTATGGGCTTTTAATATATTTTTTAAATAAATCTTCAATATTACTCTAGTTAGTGAATTAGGTAATGAAAAACATGATATTATATCGATATAAATAAATAATAGACACGTGTAACTATTTGGATTCTATTAATAGAATCATAGATAACAGATTCGCGTTAGCATTTTCGCTACGTTGCAGCTCTTATCACGTAACGTAATAGTACGAGAAAGTGATGGGGAACCATGCAATTTCACGCACACTTTGCGCGTGTGCAGATAGCGCCTTTCTTTATGTAGTAGTAAGTAAATAATTTTCGATCGTTGTATGGAGTCAAAGTCAAAGTCAAAGATTATTTATTCCATAGGTAAAATAAATTTACACTTGAAAACGTCACATTTAAGCTACTGCTCGTTCACTACGCTGACCTCCCTGAGAAGAACGAGCAAGAAACTCTAGGGATTGCTCTTTTCAAATAAACTTAAATGCTATGGAATACACTTTGAATCAAATTTGTGTGGATTCTGGAGCTATGTCGTCTTTCCATACATCTTTATCTAACACGTAGTCTTCAATTTTGTAATATGATTTTTCGATCAAAATATTTTTAATGTAGTTTTTAAACTTAGGAAATGATAAACTTAATATATGCTCCGGAGTGTCCGGGGTTTGGCAGAGTCACAGTATTAAACTATGATCTATAACTGATTTCTGAGAAAAACAAAAACTATGCTCTTAATAATAAACTATAAAAAATAAGTATAAGTAATAGCACATAAACATAAACTGCTTTGAAAAAGCTTGGCACCTAATGATCATTCGACTACCTACTTTAACTATTAGTGTAAGACAATGACATATTAATGCATTATAATTAAATAAATATTATTTAGGTAAACTACTATGATGAAAAACTAAACTAAAAACTTTAGGTAAGTATGTTAATTTCCATGCTTAATTTGAATTGGTTGTATGTTTTGTATGTCTTGTTCCAACGTAAAACAGTCACTGTCGAGGACAGACAATATTTATAGTTTTTAGTAATTGGTCTACGTTTAGCTCTTTTTTTTACTCTGTGCTTGCTTTTTCTTCTGCTTTTCTTTACTGTCTGTTTCCTCTTTAATAATACACCTTTTTCCTTCTTAAATCGCCGTTTCCTTCGCTGTCCTCGATATCCTGGTCCTTTCGAGCCATTAATCCCGGTCCTGTTGGAGCAACTAATCTCAATTTCTATTTTTCAAAATTAAAAATTTTTAAATTATGCTTACGAGAGCGCAAGCAGCGAAAGAGATGGCGGAGCCCTCGCCCTCTGAGGGAGGAGGAAAGGATAAGAGATCTCTTCCAGCATCCAACTCGTCGTCGCAGCGCGCGACCTTGATGGCGCGGCAGAAGGCCGCCGAAGCCAAATTAAAGCGCAAGGATGCTGAGCTCGCGCATCAAATTGCGAAAGGCCGATGAGGAAGTAGCACGTGCAGAGCTCGAGGCTGAGAGCGCTGCGATCGAGGCAGAAAAGACTGCTAGTTGCTCAACGACAGCTTCCATGAAGCGGACGGCGCAATGGGTAAATGACACCCGCAGCGCCGCGAGATCGCCATCACGCCTTATGGAAGGTCAGCAAGTCAGGTCTGTGCCACTGTTGCCGTTGCCGGAGTGTGAACCTCCACGGTCACCATGCGTTGTTAAGGTACCACAATCTAATTTATTATATGAGGATGTGCAACGCACCATGTGGGAGATGGCCGTCCACTTACCTTTCGGGGAAGGTGCCGCGTCACCTGCGAAGGCGCGACACGAACCTCAAAATGTACCAATAGGCGAAGTTTGTCGTCTGGCTAACGCTATTACTTTACTCGCACAAAATTGCGATAGACCTAAATCAGTAATTATAGATCTAATCAGTTTTTCAGGGAATATTTCGGATTGGTCTTTATTCAAAAAGAGTTTTGATGATACCAACGCTGCGTTTTCGGATAGGGAAAATATGGCGCGTCTGCGTAAGGCTTTATGTGGTGCAGCGCGCGAGACCGTCAAATCCTTGCTCCTAACAAAAGATGACCCTGAATTGGTAATAAGGGCTTTAGAGCTCAACTTTGCGCGCCCAGAACAGATCGTTCTTTACGAAATAGCTGCAATACGCGCCCTGCCTAAGATAACTCGAAACTATGACATTTTTACATTTTCAGCTCGAGTACAAACATGTTTGTGCATAGTGAAACAATTAAACAGGCACGAATATATTTCTTCACCGGAACTGGTACACTTCTGGCTAAATTAACATTAAATTTACACACAAGTGGTTGGATTTTGCGGATCATCACTTCGACCTTGAGACGCCGATCCTGCAGTTGTTGACTACATTTCTGGAGCAGGAAGCTAGCAAGCGGGCTTGTTCTAGCCCCAGTCCTTTGTTGTGCAGCTCTACTCCTCACTTCGACAAGCCGAAGACGCAGCCGCCGGCTGTACGGGTACACGCTTACACCACAACAAACAAATTAAGTTGCTTGTTTTGTCCATCCGACCACACAATAAAATCATGCCCCAAATTCATTTCACTCTCCATTGACGAGCTTTTGTCGTGGGTTCGCCAGACGAAAGTTTGTCCGAAGTGCATTCGCAAAGGCAAGCACAATTGGCGAACATGCAACATTTGTCGTTCGAATCATCACCATTAATTGCATTTAGATTCGTCTCATCCCAATAATAATTTCACGGAAATTCAACCGCATAACATTTTTTTTAAGTCAGCTGTCAACAGTACTTCAGTG